GGTGTGAGCTTAAAAGGACTCCAGAAGATGGTAGAAGACAGGAAGGCCTAGAGCAGCGGTTCTCAAACTATGGGTCGCGACCCCATTTGGGGTCGATCGACCATTTCACGGGGGTCGCCAAGCAAGGCTGTCCGCCATTTTTTTCCCCTTTTCCGGCGGGTGCCTTACCTCCCTTGAGCTGGGCCAGCTGGTGGTCGGCCTGCTCCGTTTCTGCCGCTTGCCAGCTACGCCTCGGCCGGCTCAGGGGGCGGAACCACGCATGCGCAGCGCTCCCGGGCAGGGAATGTCCTCGAATTACAACCAGTTGGGTAGTCCTCAACTTACGACTGGTTTAGTCCTCGACTTACGACCGGTTTAGTCCTCGACTTACGACCGGTTGGGGGTCGCGGCATTAAAAAGGTTGAGAACCACTGGCCTAGAGGAACGTTGTCCATGGGGTCACATTGGGTAGGACACAACTTCACAACTAACAACAACAATCTATTTTAAATGTTATTACATCCACTTATTAAGCTTTTTGCCAAAAGTTTTTAAATCTTTAAAAATCTTTCTCCACTTGTAATCCAAAAAGATTATGATTCACCAAGTGAATTTTTTTTTTGATCCTGCTGCTCAGAAAATCTCTTTAGCAGTAAATTAATTACATCTGAAATTGTTCAGAAAATGAGGCTCATGCAAACCTTATGTCCATATAGGCTCCATTACAGCTATGAGCTTGGTTGAAAACTCTTGACTATCAGCAACTGATTTCACGAGCCAACAACAAAGACCTCAGTTTCTGCAGATTACTGACAAAGGGTGCAAGTAGGCAATCTCATGATCTTTTCTTTTTTCAGAGAGACTGTGCCAGCCATAATTTATTGTTTGACCACAAATCTCTGCTGTAATGCCCTTTCTGCTCCTTCAGAAAGGACCTTGCTCCTAGTATTATTATTAATTCTCCCAGCTCCCAGCAATTCCATTTTCATGATAGGGAGACATCACAGAAATGACGTCTGTTATGTCTCCCTATCTAATTAGTTGCTTATCTGTCTGAAAATGATAGATATTTTGTCTATGAACTAGAAGTATGCATGATCTACAAAATGGTCCATCACAGAACCTTCATACCATACTGAGCACTCCAATCCTCAAATGTTCCATAAAGAGAGCCATTAAAAGAATCAGTTTAGTCAAGTGGTTCAGGCACTGAGCTAGAAAGCAAGAGACCATCAGTTCAAATGTTGCCTTGGCCACGAAAGCCAGCTGAGTGACTTTGGACCAGTCAAATCTCTCTCAGCCCAACTCACCACACAGGGTTACTCTTGTGGAGAAAATAAGAAGAGGAAGTTGTTAGATATGTTCATCGCTTTGAATTATTTGTAAAAATAATAAAAGCAGCACTAGAAACATTCAGCTTAGCACATTCCAAGGTCAGAATGTTTTGAATGAAATATTTTGCAAAGCACTATTGTTAGCTTCTTACTCTCTTACGTTAAAACTAAAATAATGGAATTACTTCTACTCCAACGGCAAACTAAGGGTTGATCTAAGTATTTTCCTTCTTTTTTTGGCATAATAAATCAGGGATCTAACATGAAAGAAATTTTCTCTCAGCAGCTGTTTTATTGCATTTCCTGCCTTTCCTCCAAGAGCCCAAAGAGGTTTACATGTAGATCTCAACTCCTTTTATCCTGTATCAACTCTGTGAGATAAATTGGGACAGTAAAGAATGTCTGGCACGAAGTTACCCAGTGAGTTTCATGGATAAAAATGGACATGAACTCCAGCTTCTTATGATACTACTGATTCATAATTTGACTATCATCTAAAATTAATTTAGCAGCTAGATGTCTCTGTGAAGGTATTAATTCCAAGGAATAAACTTGTGAGAATTCCAAGCATCCCATCTTCCAATTGTTATTTATCTTTTCCACTGTTACTTATATAAAAAAAACTGTAACTGCTACAACTGGCATTATATCAAATTGGCAAATTCCTATAGGAAACAAGTATCAAAAAGTTGTTTCTCCAATGTATAAAAATATCTGACAAAAATCTTAATAGCAGTTTAAATTGTTCATGAACTCCAAGTCTTACAACATCACCTACACTCAGAAATATTTTATTCTAATACATAAACACAATATATTTATTCTAAGTTAACAAAATAACCCAAACAGCTTTGCTAGTTTTCCTCTATCAGTATTCAAAAAACTGTAAAACAGAGGTCCTATAGGACCCTTGCATTCAGTCCTCTATAAAAACATTCTATACTTAATTGTATTTATATACAGCACTCACCCTATATAGGTAGTCCTGGACATACAACAGGTCATTTGGCGACCATTCAAAATTACAAGGAGACTGAAAAAAGTAACTTATGACCATTTTTCAGTTACAACCTTTGCAGTATCCCCATAAGCATGTGATCAAAGTTCAGATGCTTGGCAATTGGTTCATATTTATGACTGTTGCTGTGTCCCAAGGTCATGTGATCAACTTTTATGACCTCCTGACAAGCAAAGTCATTGGGGAAACCAGATTCACTCAACAACCTGGTTACTAACATATCAACTGCAGTGATTCACTTAACAACTGTGGCAAGAAAGGTCACAAAATGGGGCAAAATTCACTTAACGAATGTCTCACTTAACAACAAAAAATTTGGGCTCCACTGTGGTCATAAGTCAAGGACTACCTGTATAAAGGAATTTAACCACCTAGTCCATTATGATCTAAAAGTATTTTAAAATAAATATATTCCCTCACTCTGCAATCGGTTTGGGATGGGTTTGTCTAAAACAGCGGTTCTCAACCTATGGGTCGTGACCCCATTTGGGGTCAATCAACCATTTCACGGGGGTCGCCAAGCAAGGCTGTCCGCCATTTTTTTCCCCTTTTCCGGCGGGTGCCTTACCTCCCTTGAGCTGGGCCAGCTGGTGGTCGGCCTGCTCCATCTCTGCCGCTTGCCAGCTACGCCTCGGCCGGCGCAGGGGGCGGAACGACGCATGCGCGGCGCTCCCGGGCAGGGAAAGTCCTCAACTTACGACCGGTTGGGTAGTCCTCGACTTACGACCGGTTTAGTCCTCAACTTACGACCGGTTTAGTCCTCGACTTATGACCGGTTGGGGGTCGCGGCATTAAAAAGGTTGAGAACCACTGGTCTAAAATGTTTTTTTACTTCTTGCCAAAAGAAGGAAGCAGTAGGTGGGAAGCATAGAACTGTATTATATTGGTAAATGAAATGCATCTCAGAATTAGGTTTATAAATATTTCCCCTCTTGCACCAACCCTTTATCCCCCCCCCCATCTGTGAAGAAGCTGTTGACAAAATCTGGCATTTTACTTACCCAGCACTGCACAAACTAGAGGTCGACAGGGAAGATTCTTATCAGCAGCTTTCTTTCTGTGTCTCATAGGCTTCAAACAAGTGAATATGAATTAGTCAGAAGGTATAAAGCAATGATCACCCAAACCACTATTTTCCATATAAATCAAACTGCTCAGAAAAGGAATGTTTTCATCCTCTCATATAGGTAGGTCAGCTGGTCACAATAGTGGAAAAATCATGATGTTCACATGATGACATCATCATGCAAATCCAACCTTTATCTGCTAGCATTCTGATGTCAGATGCAAGTATGATGCAAGTATGTAATTTTGGGAATTTCTGTTATAGCATTATACTGCATATTACTTCTCTTCCTCTCCCTGCAAACACCACTATCCTCTTCTATCCCACAGCAGTTCTTTTATTAATTAGGCTTTGAGCAAAAAGGTAGCTTAGGCAACTGCAATACCAACCAGAGTAGAGAGAAAATATTGAGATAGCTGGATAGATTTTCTTGTTATGATTGTTCATTACATCTTTATCTATCAGCTGCAAAAATAGAAGCAGCAGCTATTCACACAAGATGCATACAGGCTGCCTTTGCCCAATATACTTTGATTAGTTGACTCAGGGAGGTTTTAACATAACCCAGTCAGTGCATGAGTTAGAATACAGGCCAGGGTTGTTTGTGGTTAAACTCACTTTCCTTTGACAATTATGTTGTAAGAACACCAGAGAGAGTGTTAACAAAGGTTTAACTTTGTCTGCTGCTGAAACAAAATTAAATCCTACAGTTACTCTAAAAATGAGTGCTTTAGGAATTTCCACTCTTTCTCCATTCTATTTTTAACCTTTTCCTCCTGTAGTCACATAGTATAGGATGAAACAGAAAGAAATTAATAGGGTTAGTAAGTATCCTGGTTGCTTCTAAAAAATGTTAAAAACAATAGGAAGTGAAACATTTTAGCAACCATTGAAATAGCTGGGAACCCATGAAAAAATCCCATGGGATAGCAGATTGCATCTGTCATGTCATCTTAGCACTGCCTTGTCCACATATGAAAGTATACATACATATATAAATTTACATACATATATAAATTTAATAAATGAAATATATATTATTCCTTAATATCTCCCTAGATCTAGTTGTCTCTCATTGCCTCAATGCAAATTGTTCTACAAGCTCACCCCACTCAAGAAATTAAGATGAGGCTGCTTGACGCTGACTATGAGCCAGTCTTGCATTCTGCAATGAACTACTGGAATAGGGGTGAGAAGATTAAGAAAAATAAGCCCAGATCACCAAGTACACTTAACATTCACCAGAAACTCTCAGATGTTTACCAACATCACCATGCAAATGCTTAATACCAAAGCATCCATTTTATTTATTGTGATTAAACATCAACAAGTGACTCTGTGTGGCAAACAGAATTAAATTAAATTAAAATAAAAAACAAACTTACAAAGGTTAAAATACAAACCAGCTGAAAAACATCAAACCCAAATCACTAATACAACTAAAAAGGGAAAGAGAAAAAAAAATATTCTAAGGCTGACTTTGCCCTAACAGAGTTCCTGATCAAGACAACTTACCATTCTGTGGAGGTTTACGCGAAAATTCATATTGTCATCATGCAGAAAAGCATTAGCATACTGGTCCTACGGAAAAAGAAAAATAACCAAAGTAAGCAAAATCACACATAACATCAATGTAGTACTGAAAGACAACATTTATGAATGAAACAATAAGTAAATATTACTCTTGGCAGATGATTCAAATGTATCTCTCATCTAGCTGACTAATTGTGATTATTCAAGTTGGTGCGAGTCTTAATGACCACACAGATCTTCTCCAGAATTCTGCCCCAACCTGGTCCTTCAGGCTTTTCCTGCAAAACATCCATCTCCATTGCAACTGAATGTACACACCTTGTTGCTGGTTATCCTCTTCCTCTATTCCTTCAAGCTTTCCCAGTATTACACACTTTTCAAGACAGATAGATGTTTGCATAATATGTTAAAGTATAAATTAAGCCTGGTCCTCTGCAGCTCAAGTGACAACCCTGAATTGATTTTTCAATCAATTATGTTTGTTTTCTTAGTAATCCATGGAATTCTCAGGAGTCCTCTCCTATACCAAAGTGTCAATATTCTTTTCTGCTTCTTCAAATTTAAAATTTTGCTTTCATAAACTATAATGGGGAAAACCATTGCTTTCACAATTTTGATATTTGTTGGAATAGACATATCACACATCCACTGCTTCAGTATATCTTTATTGTCAGTTCTAAGACAGGTTGCAGTACTTGTCATTAGTTTGGTCTTCTTTAATATATAATCTTAGTCACTTTTTATTACTGTACTTGCCTTTCATTACTAAAGTTTCCAGATTATTTGCATCTTCAGCTACTACATTAATGTCTTCAGCATAATTCAGGTTATCGATATTTCTTTCTCCAATTTTAAAACCACAATCATCTTTCAACCTAGCCTCCCCCAAATATATAGTCAATCTAGTTCAGTATCTCAGCTCAAAATATAAATAACTGCAAGTATGGCACTAATGTATACTTTGTCATTAGTTTCTTTTGCCCTTTATCATTGATCTGCATCAGGAACCTGAAGAGGTTTTACAAAATTCACACAAAAATGTATTTACTATACTTCTTTACTAAATAATGCACAAACCTATCAGAACCACCATTTTAAAGGAAGCTCTGTTGCTGAAGTAGCAACATTAATTCTGAAGCAAATTCATTCCAGAATCAGCCCTAAATACACTGTACTGTATATGATCCTCCCATTCAATTTCATGATTAAATAATCCATAATTACATGATCAATGCATTTTTTTCAAATTACTGCTTCAATAAACTCAGAAGACAATTGCAACAGTTAATGATGAACATCTGAATGAATTCAATGGTTGTTTTATGGCAGCTTGAGCTACCATTTTAAACATCCAAGACCTGGCAGCTTCCATGGACTTCAGATTATTAAAAAAACAAAACTGATGGAGGCTAAGAATCATGACATGTTTAGTCTAACAAGTTATCAAATTGTTAGGCCAATACAGAGTGAATCAGAAAAGGTAATTCCATCTATGAAATGTAGATATGAACAAATACTCTTTCTCTCATAAAAATGGAAAGAGGAAAGCACTATTACATTTCAAAAGTTTCCCATTTCTGACTCTAAGTTCCCTTTCTCAAGTCTCCTTGTTTTCTAAGGCGAAAAGAGGACCTCCTTTTATATATGAAAAACAAACAAGTGGTGTCCAATATTTACAGTCTTAAGAATTTTTTTTATCCTAATAAAAATAGTAGCTAAATGAGAACTATGTTTTCAGTTAGCCAAATCTCACCAAGTGATTTACTTCTCAAAACTGCAGTGATTATCGTTCAGTTTCAGAGATGGAGGAAGGTAATGCATAGATCCTGAGGTATTGATTTTTAAATATGCTACTGAGATGGAGGATATGGACAGGGAAAACTTACCTCTGCTATGCAGGTTAAGATAATCAGGCAGAGCTTTCCACTATGGAGTCGGTGTTCATCTGCAAATGAATATCATGAGGTCATAATATATGTAACCATTCCTTAGCATGTGAAAAGGTCAATACACAAATCAGAAATCACAGAAATCCATAAGCACAACAGAGCAAGAGATGATACAACATGGTACTTCAACTGTACTTCAAAGATATTACTTAGGATCCCACAATAATAACGATTTTGTTATTTTTGTTTTTAACCCCGAAGCTATCTTCTTTTTAGTCTTCAGCATTAGTATTTTCCATTGTTAAAGAGATGATGATTCTCTTGACTATCAAACAGCAGCCAGCATTGCTGCTTGCCATGAGGTAGCAGGTTCTCAATGACCCACCCAAATGAACCCTGGCTTAATAAACTGGGAATTGCATGACTTTCATACACTTCCACACTGCTCTTTCGCTCCAGTCTTTCTGCTGAGAAAGCAGACTACCAATCTACATTAATCATAACTTCTGTAGTCAACCTTAATTTGTTGCAATACCTGAATCATTTTATATGAGTACATGTGACTGTATAGCTGTATATAGGTACCTTTAAATACCAGTAACACACCTGACATCCACTCATGACAATTGAAAAACAAGCTGAAATGCTCTTTTTCCAGGAACAGCAGCTCTAGAGACCAATAATACTTTAGGGTCTTGTTATCTTTTCACTGCAAAATCCAGAGATTTACTGCTCAGGTGTCATAGTTAAGTCTCATCCTTGGGGATTACACTGCACACACTATTCCTTCATGCCAAGCATTTAACTTTAGATTCCTGCAGTTACATACTAGTGATATGTTAATTTACCAGCATTTTCTTAGCTACATAATTGCTTTAAGCAGTGCCATGCTTTGTGCTTTAGCACTGAAACGACTTTCCAAATCTTAAATGCATTATTATACAATAGCACAGGTTCCCTGAGAATGCCAATTTTGACCCTGTTATGGATGAGAAGAAACACACAGTGAATTGGACCAGAATTTGCTTGTACATATTGGACCAGAATTTGCTTGTTTTCATTGTCAAAGTAGAGACTATTAACAAATAGAAAACACCAACAGAAAAAAGCACAAATAGAATTTATAAGCATTCTACATTTAAACGGGGGGGGGGGGGATGAAAACTTTCATATTGAAAATGAAATTTAAATCAACCCATGACGCAGAAATTTCTCTTTCTTTTTTTTTCAAAACAATTTTTATTAGTTTTCCATTTTACACCAACACAGCTTAAAAACCCACGTGGAAATATGGTGATCATTTTTTTTAAAGAACAGACAATAACATAAATAAATATATACACAATATTTCTTAAAAATTTCCCTCTCTATATGGAATATTATAATCAAATTAATACATTTTCAGATAAATTCATTCATTACTATGTCTAACCATCAACTGCATTAATCAATAAAAAAATTCAATCTATAAAAACCTATATTTCTTCACACATTTAAACTTAAACTTAAAGAATTCTCCATTTATTTAAAAAATTATAATCAAGTCAATATCTTTCCAAAACCAATTCATTCACTAATATAACATTTCATCCAGGTTATATAATTAAAAATAAACTAATATTCTCTATCTATTTATATTGTTATAAGCTCATTAACACATTTCTAAAACAAATTTTCATTGAATATATCACTCTATATAAATTTCATTAATCAATAAAAATTTACACCAACATGAAAATAGTAATTAGAGGATTCACTGTAAAGTACTGCCATACTAAATATTTCAAGAATTGAACTAAGCATCAATTGTGAAAACTCCAACCACTGTGGCAGATAATTAGTCACTTCCACTATAGTAAGCAGCATTCAATACTGAACTATTATCATATTCCTAATTAACAGAAAAAAGAACAAATAGAATTTATAAGCATTCTATATTTTAAACGGGGGAGGGGGGATGAAAACTTTCATATTGAAAATGAAATTTAAATCAACCCATGACTTGCAGAAATTTCTCTTACTGCTTAATGTTGATATACATAGTGATTCAAACTACAATGCAAATATAAAAGGAACTACATAATGCTACGTGCATCACATCTATTTCTATCATTTAATTCAATGGCGTAGCCTGGACACAATACAAATCAGGACTGGTTTAACCAAAGTGTGGTAAATCAGAATGTCCAAACACTACAAGCAGTAACTCATAGTTAACTTTCTAGAAATAAACCAGTTTGAATCTATGATTTCAGATGGTTTATAATTCCCGTTTTAATGATACAGTATCACACATCCCAAATTCCTGGAGTGGTTTTACAACTAGATCACCAATGCATGATGCTGTAAAGCAAAAACACAAACAATTAAAGAAACATGCTTCAAGCTTATCCACCCTCATTTGCTTTCTCCTTCCATCTCATCCTTCTTGGCAATATTTTTTTTTCATGACCATTAATGTCTATTTCAACTCAAAGTGCAGGACACAGGATAGGACTTGACCTCATATGCAAAAAAAAAAAAAAAAGCACAACACTTTGATAGCAATTTCATAGAAAAGCAGACGGTGATTCTCTAAAAGAAAATCCCCAAGAACATATACTACTTGTTTAGCAAGTATCACAGTGATTGCTCGCAAATCCAACTTTAATGAACTGTAGTAAAAAAAATATTTTTGACCAATATGCACACTTACAACCAAATTTTTGCATCTGAACAATACATGCCAGAGTGAAAATAATGCCATTGTTGCTGCATGAGAACTTTGTCTAAGTGAGATAGTAGCAACCAGAAGTCTCTCTCTCCTTCCCTCCCTCCCTCCCTCCTCCCCTCTCTCTCTCTCTCTTTCTGTCACATGGTTTACTTAGTGACCATTTTGCTTAACACCAAAGTTACTGGTATAGATTGCAGTCACTAAATGAAGAGTGGCTGAATTCTACATAAAAATTCACCATTTATCTTTACATAAAAATGTAGATTCAATAAGAAAACACACACATATCTGACACAAAATCCAAAGATACAGCTCCAAGGGGGGGGGAGAAACACTTGAACAGACATTCCCCAAAAGACATAAAAGCCAAAATGTATTTCATAGTTGTATGCATATATGTGCATAGGCAAATACATATATTAACACAATACACAGTATAATACAAACGCAAACACATACATATAGAAATACTGGGTTGAAAGGGTGAAGCAAAAACAACTATGAATACATAGTTATCCAAGTGTGAACCATCATCTTCCAACACTTTTTGTAGAAAGCCAAAACTTTTAAATTCGAGCTAAATCCTATCACCTTGATACAACTTTCTTTTACCAACTCACAACAAGCCAGCTTTGCTAGCTATGAAGCATCACATGTGTTTTGAAGAGTGCGATAATGTTTATTCTCAACTCAGACTTCTGTCTTACGCAGTATTCCCTTTGGGGTATTCTCATAAATGCAGTGCTATATACCCTCTCTATCTTTTGCTAACTTAGATATAATTGTCAACTGTTTTATTTACTTGGAAGAACGTGCCAAATCTTTTTTACACATTTTCTTCTATATTTAGTTTTTCTCTCCTTCAGCATCAAAGCTCCTTAATCTTTTATAATTGTCATCTGGCAATAAGAAAACAGCTCATTCTGTCAGTCTGAAGAACTTTACTATCCGTGAGGAATTAGCTGGGAATTTTTTAAGCAGTCAAGTTAGTAACAAGCTTCCCCCCCACCAGTTGATTTCAGAAATACAAAGCTGTATTGATACAACTGCCTACCTTTGGTATCCTGCATGACAATAGAACTGTATTTTAAGAAGGTTATCAGCAGGTTGCTTGTCTGCACGTCAGCATCCAAGGGCAGCTCTACAGTGCTTATGACTGGGAAAAATCAGAGAAGGTTTGCTCATCAGTAGAACTGAACCATCCACAAATCCCTCCAAATGGAGGTAAAGCAATATGTTTCTATTAGTAAATATTACAAACATTTCTCTTTATTTTAACAGTTGTTTATTTACAGGGGTCCTCAACCTTGGCAACTTTAAGACTTGTGGACTTCAACTCCCAGAATTCCTCAGCCAGCTTTGCCAAGGTTGAGGACCCCCTGGTTTATGACATCCGGCAGAATCATTGTAGATTATCAATTTGGAGATAAGAAAAATCAAGCAACAATGCCATCGCAACTGCACACAATGAAATGGGATCACTCCCAAATAAAGCACATAGTGTTTCTCTTGGACAGGAATTTTGTTGCGGTTGTTCCTTGGCATTTGTGAAGTTATTTATTATTTTGTAACACTTATGTTGCTAGTTTTACAGTTATTACTGCTCTGGAGGTTACTCAAAAATCAAATATCATTAGAACAACATATAGGAAAAAAATGTTAAAATGTTTTTCAAGGTGTGGCCTAAACTTAGAGAAAACATGACATTCAGCATCACTTGCCTTCCAGTTGTTTATTTCTTTGACAACAAGAAAGTTTATATGCAAGTAATGAAAACAAATAGCTAGACTCTATTCTCCCAAATTAGCACACTTGATATACCAAAATATTCCATTACTCCTCAAAGGACTGTTAAAAACTGAATTGTCCTACTTGCTTCTTCAGTCTTAACCAACATGGATGTTATAAGGTTCGTACAAACACCAGCCACAAAATCCAACTATTTCTTTCCATCTAATGATCAGTACAGAAATATTTTGTTTTTGTTTTTTCAGAATTCTCCTGAGCTGAAGAATTGTTTTTAAGACTTTAAGATAAAATGGCTTTATATTATTGCAAGTCGAGCGTGTTCTCTGCTTTCATGTCAGAAATACCAAGGGATAATTGTAAGCATAATTAAGTATTTGAGATAGATAGATAGATTCAATAACAAATCTTTTCCATCACATAAAAACAGGAAAGGAAGATATTCTCATCAATGTCAGAAAAGTCTGAAACTCAGCAACACGGCCCAGAATCGCTTTTCAGAGCAAGATGGGCAGCATATAAATTTAATAAAGAAATGCAATTTCAGAAGCACTCAGTCTTCCAATAGTAGCCCTGCTACGCTCAGTCTAGTTAATATGCATCCAATAGCTAAAATAGGCCTTGAATGGTAATCTATGATGTATACAGTGAACGAATATAACAATAACAGGCAAATTCAACATTTAAGATACCCTGGTGATAGACACTTTATACAGCTTTTTCAACAACAGAAAAAGGTAGGTCTTCTATCCTTAATCACTATGCAGAAACTTGCTACCTATCTTATCTTTAAACCTGTGTCAGAGATAGATACTATTTGTGGGACTGCCTACCCCTGAGGCAAAGTCATTTGATGGGACCTAGGACCTGTGACAGCACCGGCCCTTTGAATAATTTCCCCCCCCCCCCCCCCCGCGCGAAAAAAAATTACCTAGAATGAGCCCAAGCTTCCAGAAAGCTTTAAAAACCTGGTTTCTCCCCCAGGGAGTGGGAGAGGATTACGTATAAACCCATCTTCTGGGAGATGATATGCATGTTAGATAACCCAGGCTGTGTGTGGTCTAATATATTGGTTATGGATTTTGTTTCTGTTTTGTATTTTTTTTAATTCTAATTATTTTTTATTTTTTATTTTTTTTACTTGATATGTGCCATCTGAAATTGTAATTACATATACTTGGAGGGCATAATAAATCTTCTAAATAAATATTAATTTGAAACATTAGAACAGTTTTTAATGTGTGGTACAAGTCAAAAATAACACAACTAATCCAAGACTCGAGACTTATTTTGCAAAATCCGGCAGCAGTTAAAAGTACTCAGGATCGTATCTTCAAGATATAAACTGCCTTTTGACTTTGAAAATGGCCATATCTAATATAAACTGTAAAGCAAAATATTGCTTTATTCATCTGCATTTTTTGTGGCACAGTATGAGTGGGAATCATCCTGGCCTGCTTTTTTTTTTTTAAAAAAAAAAGGGAAGTAAGAAATACTGGGGAGTAAGAAAATGTGGACACATTCCTTGGGTCCAGAAAATACAGAAAAAGTATGAAAACCATAAATAAAGTCAGGTTTGTATTGATACAGGCCAAATAAGAATTCCTTTCATAACATTAATTAATCTCCAGGAAATAGGAAAGTAGCACTCTCTGTGCGTATTTGGATTTGTCTATGTAAATTAGAAAATGAGAGGAAAAGAAGAGTTGAAGATAAGCACACAGATTTTGCCTGCTGCATTAAAAAATGTGTGTAGGCAGATATATTTGCAGTGAATAATATGAAAGAAGCTTAAGCAGCTCTCAACCCTTAGCATCATATAGGATACATACAGAGAGAGGTAGAAGACAGAATTATTTTTTCAAAAAAACCTTAGGCTTTTGATATCCATGGCAACGAAGAATTTATCTTCTCAGAGAAGAATACTCTTCTACCAGGATACCACAGTGACCTTAATAGCAGCTATTACAGGATAAGACTCTGTTGTCACCTAAATGCTTATAGAGTTTTATGAAATATATCTTATTTTTCCATTAAGATATCTGCAACACATAAAGTAGTCAACATACACAGGGCAACTATACAGTTGGATACGGACAACTGATCCTATTATCTAGAATGGCCACCCACATGTGCGACCAGCCTAAGGGAAATGTCTTATCACATAAAAATAACGTTCATAGAGAGATTCACATTTGGGAACAATTCATGATTAAGCCAAGTAATACCATGGTTCTATACTTTATTTCTGGCAAGGGTTTCTGTTAGGCTTCCAGGATGTATAGACCCTTATGCTTTTCTGCATAAAAAGGCCACTTGTTCTCTTATCTAGAGTACAGAAATGCAACAAGCATGTATAGAAAATAGAACGGCTCACCATCAGAAGAAGGTGGTGTGGTTCCAAGTGGAGTAACGGGTGTAGTCGGAACTGGGCTTACCGGCATTGTCACTAAACCAATTTCAGGATGACTCTAGGCATTAAAACATATATCCAAATAAATTTACATTCAGTGATACCTGTACTACCTTAAGTATCCTTTAGTGCAGTGTTTCTCAACCTTGACAATTTTAAGGCATGTGGACTTCAACTCCCAGAATTCCACAGCCAGCAATGCTGGCTGTGGAATTCTGGGAGTTGAAGTCCACATGTCTTAAAATTGTCACGGTTGAGAAATACTGCTTTAGTGCAATTTCACCTATTCCTGATATTGCAGCTATCTTACCACACCTACAATCCTTGCTATAATCTGTCATTATTTTCATGCGTATTAAGAAATTACTGAGAAGCTTCTTAAAAGTTAAAAGTCTCTTAAAATTAATCTCCTTAGAAAAGTTGCTATGAAAGCAATATTTTCTTTCCTCTTCTTCCATTCCCTCTCTTAATATATTCCTGATTATTCAGCAAGTCAATGCATCATGTTGCTACCCTGCTGCTTAACCCAGGTGCTTCAGGAGAACACAAGGCTATACAAATATTATTACTGTTACCTGTTCTGCCTGCCTGCTTCTACTAGTTCTTTCTCCATTTCATCTCAGCCAGAAGCTCCCCATCTAATTGCTGATTTAACTATAGGGTTCCATTTGCAATGCTGTCATCCATAAAAACAGGCAAGACTTTAGATCGGCATAGCATTCTATTTTATGCTCAACTGTGAAATAATGAAGCCTGTTTTACACAGTACCTTTCATATCAACATATTTCCAAATGTTCTCTCAGCAGCAAGCAGATTTGAAGTGAATTTTGGAATTACCAATCTGTTTTTAATTGTGCAATATTTCATGCAAGTTCACACAGGAGCCTGCTATGACAGAAATGTTGAAAGCTGGGTTTATTAATGGATTCTTCACTATCTTATAAGGATTGACTAGCATTTTCTCAATTTTTGAAATTAACCTCCGAGGCCAACTTTGAAATAAAGTGTCCAATGAAAATAACGCACGCAAACAACTCCATTTCCATAGTTCTAATGACTTGGGTTCTCTTATAGTCAGGTTTTATAACTCTTCTTCCAGCTAAGTGTAACAGCACCGCCTAGCAGCAAGATGCTGGTGTGGCAATTCTGAAATTTAAGCTTGTACTACTGCAGTAATTCCTATACTGTTCAATTGAAAAAGCTTTAACCCACATGTATCCTCCTCAGCATTGCTCTAAAACATACAGGCCATACAAAAGTGAACAAACGGAACAAAGCAACATACATAAATTATTATCTTCATCATAGCTACGGTCCCAACATTAAAAAAAACATGTATGTAAACTACTGACATCTTTATGCTAGATTTATTATTTATGATACAGAGTTTCTTTTTAAAATGAGAAGTACATCTTGAAATATTTATTTGGAGCAACTTAAATACACTAGCAGCATGATTAAATTTTGATTTTATTCAGACTCATTTAAACCAGATTTCAACCAGTATTCACCACATATAAACATCAGTTAAAAGCACCCAAGAACAAAACCCAGAGTGACAGAGATAGAATTAAAAAAAAACTATTTTTGCAAGCTTCTACAAACTCTGCCTAAATAAAAAAAAAATAGTGGAGATTGATCCCTGCCAGAATTTTCAAAAAACTTTAAGTGAAGGGAAAGATATTGTCTAGTTTTGGATTCTAATCAGCTGAGAGATGTCTACATGATCACAACTATGTGTGATATTCTTGGCCCAATTTAGGGAGAATTTTTTATGTTCCAGGTCTACTTATCTTCCCTTACCTTCACAAACAATCTGACCTGAAGAATTCAGAAGGGGGTGAAGCACCATTCTGTTCAACACTGGCTTGTTCTATAATATATTATAGCATGCATGCTGGCCAAATGAATAAATAAATTCAAACCAAACTTCTATCTTGATTCAGTAATTGATCATGATATTTATTTGTTGAATTTAAATCCCATCTTTTGTACTGGAATTCAAAGCAATACTGTACGCTGAATGTGCCTTTTTCCTATTTATCCCCACAACAGAACCCCGTGAGACAATTTCAGCTGAGACAAAGTGACTGGCCAAAGTAACTCCCTGACTTTCCATAGCTGAAGTGGGACTAGAGCCTAAGTCTCACGGGGCCTCTCCAACAGTACACTCTTTAGACTGCAATGATTGACCCACCCCATTTTGGGGTGATTGACCACTGGTTGACAGCCTGTATAGGTACTTGATCAGTCTCCTGTCTTTTGGGGGGGGGGAGAACAAACAGGAATGTATTAATATTCAATTAAAGGAACATATGTTCCATCTTTCAAATCCAAACATTAGCAAGTTACTGAGATCAAACAGAGCACTTAACAAAAGATGAGTTTAAATCTCTGTTAGAGCAAAGGTCTAAGCTATTTTTCAATTTGGATTCTACAGATTCCCCAGACGTACAAAAGTGAATTGTACTACACCTGTGCCAATACAGTGATAAAGTTTCGATTCAAGTGAACAGCTTCATAAAGAGCCAAAAGGATAGCTTCGTTAGTTCTACAAAAAAGAGCAGAAGAGAAACACATTTATTGCAGTAATGTAATTTCCTGGAACACTTTGCCAGGTTACACTAATGGGAAGAGGTAATTTTGGACACTCAGACTAACAAAACAAAAGAACCCACAAATAAGAAACATGCATCATTTCAGAGTGTTTTCTCATATTTATTATAATGTTAATAAGTCATTTGTCATACAGCATAATAAACTGGTATTGTGTAAAAAATGTCTTTACACGGTGAATCAAAACATTTAAGAGATACAATAAAATAAAACTAGATAGCATTATGTACCTACCTAGATCAATTAAAATAACCCTGTACTTAAATAGGAATATGTTATGAAGTATGTTAATTTGTGATAAGAAAGAAGCAAATAATGCATTTTATATACAGTGGTCAGAACTATCGATGGAAATGACTGCAGAAAGCTGTAACAATATGGAGGAAATCAGTGTGAAAATTCTGTCTTTCATGCTTACCAACAGTTCAAACATTTTTGGCTTTATAAACCAATCAACACTTTGAACTGAAATCAGAAACACACCGACAACTAGTGCATTTATACAGAATTAGTGAGATGTTCCATTCACTCTGTTCCCACTATCATCTCAGCATACTATACAGATAGTCCTTGACTTATGACTACAATTGAGCCCAAAATTCATTACTAATTAAGGCAATTGTTAAGTGAATTTTTTCCCATTTCGTGTCACAGTTGTTAAGTAAATCACTGCAATTGCACTGAAAAAAGTGACTTAGGACCATTTTTCACACTTACAACCTTTGCACATCACCCTTGTCACATGATCAAACTTTGGAGACTTGGCAACTGGCATGCATTCATGACGGTTCCAGTGTCCTGGGATCATGTGATCAATTTTTGTGATCTTCTGAAAAACAAAGTCAATGGGGAAGCCAGATTCAATTAGCAACCATGTTACTAACTTAACAACTGCAGTGATTCACTTAACAATTGTGGCAAGAAAGAACATAAAATGGGGCGAAACTCACTTAACAACTGTCTTGCTTAGCAATGGAAATTTTGAGCTCAATTGTGTTCATAAGTCGAGGATTACCTGTATTTAAGACGTGAAAATTAAACTGAAAGATTTTTCGTCCAAGAGGCAGATCAGGCCTTAACAGATCAGGTTCAAATTCCAATGTACTTAGTTATATTTGGGTTGCTGGATTAGGGTAGCTGCCTCTTTTTTCATACACATTCAGCAACAACTATACAGCACATTGATACATCTCTCCAAGGTGGAAATGTTGATGAAGAAGATATTATCCATTCAGTCATGTCCAACTCTTGGTAATTCTAAGGGCCAGGTCTCTTCACATCTTTATATCTTGCACTACTTCTTTGAGTTGTTCTATACTCTGGCTGGTGGTGTCAAACCACCGTGTTCTTGGGTGACCTGGTTTCCTTTTACCGCTAATTCTTCCAAACATAATTGCTTTCTCCAGTGAATTAACATGGCCAAAATAGGTGAAATACAGTTTTGTGATTAAGCTGAAAATAAGTGCATGTAATGAATTTAGGTAGTCTAGGAGGGAAAAAGGATTCTGTTGTTGACTTACCAAAATTCATACATTTCTTTGTAACAGGAATGGAAAAGACATCCAATTTTAACATAGTGAACTCAAAAGAACACTAACATTTATGTGTGCCTGTGACTAAAACAGAATGAGGAATAGATCTGATTCAAGAATTGACTCACTCCTCATATCCTTGGTGGTAAAGATAAGCTGGGAAGGGTGGTAAACTTGCATCATCCAAACAATTTATATATACTCCGACAGCATAAGCTGGTAGGTATCTGTATTAAAGCACAGGATGGTGCTCTCACTGACTTTTCTAAACCATAACATCTGACATTTCAAATTCATTGGTTTTTATCTATAAAATTTAAGACTACCGCAACAAGATGTTCTAGGCCTTTACAAGACTTTTAACATTTAATTATTTTAAATAGCTCCACCAGTCTATATTGCCAAGATGCAAGGGTAGCAAGGGACAATCAAGCAAGCCTTCTTTGTCATTACCACAGAATTATGTTGGTAAATCAGGTTTACCAAAATAAGGATGGCTTTTATCATCCTCACTGTGAGCTTTCATTAACCCTCATTTTTCATGGTCTTCAGCTCAAAATATCAAGAAAATTACTTATTTCTATACAGGTAGTCCTCAGCTTATGACCACACTTGAGCCCAAAATGTATGTTGCTAAGTGAGAAACTGGTTGAGTTGTCACCCATTTTACGACTTTTCTTACCACATTTGTTAAGTGAATCACTGCAGTTGCTTTTTAGAAGGTCACAAAAGAGGATCACATGACCCCAGGACACTGCAACTGTCATAAATGTGAATTAGTTGTCAAGCATCCAAATGTAAATACACATGACCATGGGGATGCTGCAACAGTCGTAAGTGTGAAAAATGGTCATAAGTTACCTTTTTCAGTGCCGTTGTAACTTCAAACAATCACTATTGTAAATCTAGGACTACTCGTAGTATCCTGGACTTAGCTTCTGAGGTTTTTTAGATACGGAATATTATGGGCTGAATGATGCCACCTTAGTCTCCTATGTATTGCAATTCGCTTAAACAAATTTAAAATGCAAATACAGCATGTGCTAGTTTGCCCGTATTCCAGAACAGGGGTGTCAAACTGGCGGCCCCTGGGCCTGATATGTCACGCAAAGGCCATGCCCATCCCAATTCCACAAAGGCAAGAAACGTCACAATACATCATGATACGTCATGTGATGTGATCGAGTTTGACACCCGTATTCTAAAAGGTACTTACGCTATTATCTCCAGTACTGATTGCTGAGCTAGAAGATTTGGTGCCAGTTCTACTAAGCAATAGGTTATATTTTAGACTTCTAAATCAGGGAATTAAATTGGTTATCTGATGGATGTACTTACTGGACTGAGATTTTTTCATCAGCATCAGCAATGAACATATTGCCCACCTATGGAAAAAAGCAGTATTGCATAGCTTTAGGATATACTGAAGTCTTCCACTAACTTATCTGGTTCACAGGGCTAAAAGTAATAGAGAAGCCTTGTATTTTATATAGAATTTAAGCCCATTATAACAGCTACAGAAACATTCTACATTCTACATCTTCTCCTGCAAATCTCTTACACCAGGCTCCTTTGCATGACAAACACTGACTGACAACACAGAGTCATTGATTTCTTACCATGTTAGTCAAGGCTGAGAAAAATCCACTCTGATGTTCTTCTTCTTTATCTCTGAACTGTCTGAACAAAAATAGTGGTGGGAGATAAAACAATAGAATTTGTCAAGAGCTTCATTGCAGAGCAAGAAAAATCTGTTCTTTTAATTATGACATAAACATTTTTTTTTAAATACAGGTTCTCCAAATGATGTCTGGATGTATTTTAAAGGAAAGAAATGACATCAGATGCCAATGGGAAATACAAAAACTTACCTTTCTAACAAACTTGATAATGAAAGATATCTAAGAAGATGATATATCTAAGAAGAACATTTCTGAATGAAATGTTCCATCCATTCCAATGCTGCCTATTATACAAAATATGCTTCGAATTCTTTGTTTATGTCTATATTGATTTGTCTTCTTTTTCCCATGCAGAAACATAACCTTTTTCTATTTCTCAGCAGCACTGGTCCACAAGATGCTTCAACAGACAAATTTCAAGGATACAATTGGGAACTTTCCACGTAACCTAGCTGCCTTATAGCCCCTTGTCAGGTGTTTTTAAAAGTCTAAGCTAGCTTTCTTTACTCTTCTTTCTTGGGCACTCTTTTTCTCTCTCTACTGTGACACCAAACCAAATGGAATTGCAATTTGCAAAAAGTGCATTTAAATTTCTGGGCAGCTCTCTTACACCACTGAATTATTGCTAACATAGTGATGAAAAGGCAGAGGATGTCACTGTACATCAGCCTAAAGAAAGTCCTGTCATCTTCAAAAATGTGAGACTGGAAACCGACTAGTGTTTACAACATGGTCTTTCCTGCTGGAATACTTTCCTTCAAGCAATTCACACTATATCAGGCTATCTGAACATTAAATGAAGGAGACCAAGATTTAGGTGATCTATAATACCAGTTTCTAATTTAAACTGCTTTTACCAAAACTGATTTTTTACATATACTGGGGATCAAAACCTGCTAATAAATCTGTTCTGTGAAGCCTAGCCTATGTGTAAAAAGAAGAAGGCCATAAATAAGAATGTCAAAAATCCATTTATTTCACATCTTTGCTCATACATATTGCCAGTAGGAATATGAATACATTTTCTCAGGAAGATATTCATTAAATCCACAAATATTTCTTAATGTTACTTACCGATTGTATTCTGATAATGCCTGGGCAACTACAAGACCCATTCCCTGCAAGAAGAGAAAAAGAGAAAGATCCATATAAATTAAAGGCAGAGGTGCAACTCTCTGCTCCCAAATTTTTTTAGATCATGCAGAGTAACACTTTAAACACTTGTTAGTGAACTAAAGACCTCGTTTTATGCAGGATATAAAATGCCAGAAAAATGAGATAAACGTTTTTAAATATTAGCAATTTTCCTGCAAGAGCCAAAATAATTTAACCACAGGCTTACATCTTTTTAAAAAAAATCATGGGGTCCTCAAAACCCAGAAAGAGTTAGGAATAATAGAAATAAGCACAATGTAATATGTAGCGTGCATGTGTACTGCAATATTATTCAGCTGTGATATGGAAGCTAAACCACCTTTGCGCACTCTTTTTAATTCACTTTTCATTTCTCATTTTATTCCTAACATTCTATCACACAAAATTTACAACATCATACTCACATTCAGTGTAGCTTCATCATCTATAATAGATAGTTTTACTATATAAGGATTCACAGACTGCAAGAAGAAAAAGAAAGTCATGGGCTAATTTAATTATCAGCAAAATTAACACAACCTCATTCAAACTTTGCTCATTTTTTAATCACAGTAAACTCATACAATGTCTATTAGAACAGTAGTTTTTTAGTTTTCTGCATATAACTCAAGAGTTCACCCTTGGCATGAAAGTATTTTCTGAAAGAAGAATTATTTCTATCACATGTATGTTTTGTAGTCACTGGATGTTAAGGCAACAGGCTGAGGTCAGAGACAGAAAAGATCCTTGGGCATGCAAAAGGTCTCAATCTTGATCCTTGCCAGAATTCTCTTAAATAATAAAGCCAATAAACACCAGCACACTAAATTGACTGTTAGTTTTTTAATATAGTCTTCTGAGACAAAAAATAATAACAAGGAATGTCCATCACCTTTGATGTTGCCACTTTATGGTCAATAAAGTCAAATAGTTATAAAGAAGATCCTTGGTGGTAGCAGCAAAGCTCTCAATCTGACAAGAAACTGAAATTCTGTACTAGTTTGGGCAATTTCTATAAATCAGAATGATTTTGTAGCAAAAACTACAAGGACCAACTGGATCCATAATAAACACTAGAACAGCTGTTTCATTAAATATGGAATATGTCTGAAAATAAAGCACTAACATTATAAAACATAAATTATATTCAATGAAATTACTTTTTTTAACTTAACCACCTTCAAGAATCTGGAGAAAACAAGTATGATTAGCAACAGTAGTTACTAAATTAAAAGGATCAAAGAAAGCAAATAAAAGTACATACACACAAAACACACACAGACATATTTACATATATGAGCAGCAAGAGAAGTTTTTATTGTTGCGGACAGGATGCACATAACACCAACAGAATTCTAGACATTTTAAGAATGTTTCCCATGCCTGATTAGAAGAAAGAAATATCTATTTTTAAAAAATATATCTTTATCTAGCATTATATATACTATATAAAAATTCTTTCAGCTTCAAAGCAAAGCAATAATAAATACTTAGAAAAAAGTAAACCTTATGCAAAGGCTTTCAAAAGATTTTTTTCTATCAGATAAGTCATTAAAGATGCCAAATTTGCCAGTAGTACAATAATATTTTATGCTTATTTCCCATTTATGTATTTTGTGCTGACTAGAGATAGCATTATTATCCCAAAGGAACTATATAAATGAAAAAAGTTTGATAGACTTTGCTTCTCCAGTCAGAAAATTATAGATTTCAGCAACTTTTAGAAAACAATAAACTCATGCCCTAGAAATTCATCAAAAGCTAAAAATTATCAAAACATTATGTGTACCTGCAAACTAGAGAGAAGGGGGGGAAAAGAATAGTTTAAGAATAGCAGAATCTCAAATAAACCTTTCCTTGTTTCCAGATTAATATTTGTTTCTACAGGAAAAAGAAACTTATATCTACTTAATAAAATAATTATTTTATAAGAAAGTTTCACATGTTCATATTTAATCCCATGCTGCTCACTTTCAAATTTCAAGATGGTTTGCTAAAAATGTATACAATAACCTCATATGAACAAACAACAGCCAAACCAAGTCACATAAATCAAAATCAATGAAAGTCAGCTTAGCATCCCGTCATCAATCAAATGCCAGCTGAAAAAGGAGTCTTTGCTGCTAATAGGTTGGGGGCTTTAAACTTGTTGTTGCTGTTGGAGTAGGTTGTTCCAGAGTGGTGGGGCTTCCCTCAGGACCCTAGCTTTCTAATTTCCCCATCTGCTCTCAGTCAAAACACATATTTCAGAGAAAGATTACTTTGTACAGAGACTCAGCAATGTAGAATTTTCTAGATTAAAACCATCACTTTGTGCTGGGCTTGGAAACAAATATGGAAACCAGAACATTGGAGTTATACTGCCACACCCATTTGTTTCATTGGCATACTGGCCATTGCATTTTGAACCAACTACAGTTTGAGTGTTATTTTCAAAGGCTGCCCCACGTAATGTATGTTGTAACAGCATAAAATATTTTTGAAACATAAAGAAAATATAGTAGAAGCATAGCTGTTATTTTTAACATGTTTCCACAATCACTGTTATTAAACACCAGAATATAGATCCTCATTTCTCCTTGGGACTATATTTTATTACCATCAATTGAATGAAGCAATCTACACCTTGTTTGCCAACTTTTAATCTACAGAAAGGAGCAGATTCATTTCCCATTGTCATTTGTATGATTGTTCATATTTGTGAAACATAACACAATAATGGGAATGATCCTTCCCTCCAGTTATGTTTTTTCTGAACAACGTTGCGACTGTAGTTCTGAAACACACCCAAAGCAAGCAAATAGGCATTCCAGCAAGGAAAGAGACCATTCCGCAGTAGCAACGTATTTTCAAGAAACAAGGAAATGTAATGATGCCCAGTCCAGTGTCAGCTCCAAACTGGAAAAAAGAGCCTGGGCTATTTTTCACACTAAGCTTCAAAGTATGCCTCTAATAGGCAAAACTATTGCTGGAACAAGATGTAGAAATAGTCCTCACGTGAACATTTACCACCAAGGAACAGTGTGCTGCTAAGAACAAGAGTCTTTTCCATCGAGGGGAAGATGGAATATTTGTCCAGTTTTTTGGTTTTACAGCTTCACCAGATTAATACCTCACACTCTGTGTCAAGCACTCACCTCATATTTTCTATAGTTCACTAATAACGCAAGCAGGACCACGGCCTCATAACCGTGTTCCCTGCGACTGGGAAGATTGGAAAGGATCTAAAAATAACAGAAGACAAAGCTTCGATTAATCAAAACAATGTATTTCAAGGAGTCATAGATGGGAGATTTCAAAAATATGTAGCGTGATGAGCTGAAAATTTCCTGCATCCAAAATGAATTTTGTAAGCTTAGCATAGAGTGAAATTATCTTCTTTCATGTAGAAATCACAAACTGAAATGAAATTCTTGCATGAAAAATAATGATCATTTTTTAGGAAATAAAAAAATGGGTGTAGTCCTAGATGTCCCATCCAATTCTAGGAAATTAGATTCAATATCCTGTGTGATTCCTCTTGCATAAAGTTACTAAACTATCTGGATGAAGAACTCTTAAAACCTACCAACATGAAAATTGCTTTTACCACATTGCTTTCAATTATCCCACATTTGCATTTAAGCAACATGAAGGTAAAATCTATCTATGATTACAGCAAGTGTGTTGGCAACCATTTCAGTTCTAAGGTTTACGTCTGCTGCCAGATTAGGGTCAATGGAAACACAGCCACATAGTCACATGTATTGTAGGGGTACTGCAAAAGGGAAGCCTTGTCCTTCTCACTCCTAAGAATCCTATTCTTGTTTCCTACTATGCCTATCCAGATGAAGGCAGAACAAAGCAGCCAAAAATGCATGTAGTCCCTGGGTTACTCACAACGTATACAAATGCTTCATCAAAGATTAGCAGCCCAGAGATAGAGGGGAATAAGGAGATTTACCTGTAAGATAGCTTCAAAAATGCTATTAATCATCACATATTCCAGAATTGTGTTCTGACTGATATTATCTGTCACCTGAATAGAACAAAGAAATAGGAATTTTTAGAGTTTTCCAGTTCCAAAATAACTCACACATGCTCTTATCACTTGCTAGCAATGAATCTGCGTTTGTTATAATCCAACAGTTTGAAAAAAAAAGTCTCTCAATTTTATCTTTTGTTGACCTCTCCTGAAAAGTTCTTTAAATTATGTGTTTCATATATATGTATTGTTATCCCAAAATTATGGATTTTGGGTACATTAAACACCATATAGATAAACATGTTGTTAGTGGAAGACTTACTTTGCTTTCATGGTACAATTTTCCTTAATGATTTGTTTCAGGCTTTAGTCTTATGAATGTTTTCTAAACAGCAAATTCTAAAACATTTTTTGGGTAATAGTAAGATCGATACTTAATATTGGAAATAAAACCAGCAGAGTTTTTAACCTCTGTTTAACTCTTGAACAATGAGTAAAGGAAATGATAAAGGTTATTAAATTGAGTTGAAACCACATTAATGCTGTCTAATACTGAAGCTGGAGTTCCCAAATTTCCATTAGTTTTAGTCACTTTAGTTATCACCCACTTCTTTTTCTTTACGATTTCAACTTTCTTTTTTTCTGTTTGGTTTGGATGACCAAAATTGGGTGTTTAGTTCAAATTGTATGCATTCATTTAAAAACATTAAAGCAGGGCCTATATATGGAAGCACCTTCATAACTGAAGCAAAAAAGGGATCTTCTCATTAATATATCTAATTCCACAGTTAGATAAAAAAAAAAAACACCTTGATATAGAAGGCTGTAATATATCAGTCACTAAGAGGATGCAAGTTAAATATATTATTTAATTTATTTGTAAAATATGTTACACTGCTTACCACAGTATCTCAATGGCTTATAATAGTTTAAAGCAGGCACGTCAAACTGCCGGCCCGTGGGCCGGATGCATCACGCCAAAACCATGCCCACCCCATTGCCGACAATGGGGAAAAAGTCGTGTGACGTCGTACGACGTCACGAATTTGATATGCCTGGTTTAAAGGTACATTTTCCATATTTTCATAATAAATACTTTTCTATAGTTAACCCATCATTATATATTACTTACAGTCACCAAACAAAGCAAAAGCTTCAGGCACAAACTTTTGAGACTTTCCGAGCCTTCTGCACAAAGTAAAGCATCCAAACTCTCCATCAGATTCTGGAAAAGAGAAAAGTTATTATAAACTGTTGCAATCTCAACAGTTGCTTTTAATCTTCACTACTGCTGTAAATATCTAAGTCAAGCTAATTAATGTTCTTATTTCATTATTTATTTTTGTGTTTAAAAAACCGAGATATGTGTTAATCACGATATAACATTAAAGACGCTACTTATTATCATGCTGTAATTTTCTGTTATTTCCTTGACAAATAGACCAAATACATTTTGTCAGTTTCTAGACTAGGAGCTATCAGGAAGCTAGGAAGAGAAAGGAGAAGCATGTTATTCTATCCATGGGCTACTCTGCCAACTGAACACATGTCTATTTTTGAACTTTAATGGCACATCACAACTTAAGTTAGGGATGAGGAAAATCTAGCCCGCAAATCACATAAAGCCAAATTTCTTCTCCAAGTGGGACTGCTTTTCTCTCTCTTGGGGCTGAGAAACTTTCATCCCTGAGGACTAGGGATACAAAAAAAACCTTCTGAGCTCTGGGTGACAGGAAAAGGAACTCTTTTCTCTCTGTGCAGGAGCATACAAGAAACACTGCCTCTCTTCCATCCCACTCCTGCTTCTGCAGTAGGAGAAATGCAGCACTGAAGAGTGGAGGAAGAACAGCGTCAGGCCACAGTGGGCTTTTCAAGATGAGTGGGGTTCTCCTTCCCCAAAACCCATGTCTCCCTGACATCCTCTGACTAATTCAGAAATCAACATAACATGCATGTTATTAGAATGAAAGCAAAATCCGTTATTTCAATATAGCAAGCTCCTACCTTCATGCACAATTCAGCCTTGTCAAAGCCCATTAGCATATTGATGATGTCAAAACCAGATGTGGATTTGTTCTTCTGATGAACCCCACGGATCAGCGCACATAGAGTCTGAAGCAGAAAACACAAACTCACATATGCAGGAATTGTGAGATAAAGCCTCCTGGGCAATGAAAACTGCCATCATAGACGCAGAAATTTAAATTTATGGTATTTTAGTTTTTAAAAGTATGATACCCCAGATCACTTAGAGTGAATTTCAATACCGTAAATCCAATAGGATGTGAGCAGAAGTTTGTTTGTACTTTCTCTTTTCCACCACCAAGCAAACAAACAAACAAAAAAAAACCAGACCTCCAAAGGCAGATAGGAAATATCTTGCTAAAGGAAACAGTGACATCAGAAGAAGAATTTCAGTGGCTTCCCCTATAGTTTCTTTCTGATATTCTATCAAAGTTTACAACATGTCAAACTCTCCTAAATCATCTAACAATAAAAAAGGAAAAGATATCATTGCCTAAGATATTAAAGTAATTAAGGAATACCTGATTTAGCATATTGAACCAACAGATATTTTAGTGATCTCAATAATGCAGACTAATTCCTTCATTAGCGCTAACATAACTGATTATTAGTTGTCAGTTCATAGGTTTTGCTTAATGAAAGCCAAGGGAAATTCATAGCACCTGTAATGCATTGACCACTCTGATTGGATGCTCTTCTCCTAAAGCCCAAATGCAACGCTGGAACAAGCAATTAATGTTATCTTTTATCTTCATTAGCTCTTCACCATCCAGAGATTCCAGCTTTCCTTCCAGATATTCCAAATTCACCTGACAGAGAAGAGGTAGAGCTTAAGCCGATGGTGGAATTACTGAGGGCAAGAAAAACTAGAAATTGATATTTGTAAGAATAAACATACAGAAACGGTTTCAATCTTTAGTATATTACCTTCATGAGGAAGAGCTCCTCCCAAAACCGAGGGTTGTATTTACTAGGATCTTCTGTCTGAAAGGGAATGGGATCACTATTACAGTGTCGACTATAAACTGAAGATAATAAGTTTAGTTTTACATTATATTATTAACAGTCTGTCCATGAAAGTAAAAACATGCCAAGAGATGTTTCATTAAGGAGTATTAGTCTTCCTTCTCATTCATACTACAAGAGGCTACAATACTAGACTACAGAACTCTGTTATGATGAAAGGAAAATAAATTCAGTGCTTACTGTGAAGATCTCATCATACATTAACACAACCTTCTCTTTCAGGGGTTTCTTACTAGATGAAGATTTCCGAAGTAATCCACCTTTTTTCTCAGATTGCGCCATGGCTTACAACCTGTGGATTAAAAGAAATGGTAGCCGTCAAAGAAATTGATCCTAAGAAAATTTCCACAACACATCTTTCTAAATTTCTAGTAATTGTTTTCACAATTTTTCAGAAGCAACCCATACTGTGAGGGATCTTCGGTGCTCTCTGAGCTTGGTTGTTTTCCTGCAGACGTTCCATTACTCAAACTAGGTAACAGATACAATATATAATACTAGCTGTACCCAGCCACGCGTTGCTGTGGCTCAGTCTGGTAAAAGTGTGTGTTGCTTTTACATCCAACAGGTGGCGCTGTTTTTCACAAAAAGCATGTTTTTACCTGTCACAGGTATATAAAAACACGCGCGTATTCGAATGCAACGTTGTGTGAAAATTTCAAAGCAGTCGGTGAAGAACTTTCGGAGATTTAAGATTTTGAACAAATGAACATTTACATTTTTATTTATATAGATATTGAACCGCCTCTAGATATCGCAAAGTATGTTACAGTACCTATAAACTTTAACAATTAATTCTGCAACTAAAGATACAACAGTTACTTTTAAAAAAGAATAAATAACATAACAATCATATCTGGTAAAATTCTCAGTGGCTAACATCCATTTCAGACCATCGCACAGAGTTTTCTGCAAAATTCAGAAACAAGATATGCAATAAAGAGCTATTATGTCATTACATTGTCTGTTTTATGAGAAATAAAATATCATCAATCAGAAAAATAAAAGGGAAGAAAAAAGTTTTAACAGGGTAAAATAGCAACAACAATAGCACTTATAAACCACTTCACAGTGCTTTACAGCCCTCTCTAAGCGTTTTAGATTATTGGGGACAATATTTTACCAACCCTGGAAGTATGGAAGGCTTAGTCAACCTTGAGCCAGTCAGGATCAAACTGCCAAACTGCTGGCAGTCAGCAATCAGCAGAATTAGACTGCAATACTGCATTCTAACCACTGCGTCACCACGACTCTTCAAAAGATCTTGAAATTGGGCACAAGGTAAAATCTATACAGGGTCTCCCCTTCACTATCAGAATCAGGTGTTTTGAGCAGCAGCAGCAACAACACAAAATTGGGTACATCCACACAGAATATTCTGACTGGATTATTTATATCATAGATGATAAAATACAGTAATATGCTTCTGGCGTGGTGGTGCCGTCTTCTTTGAGTGAGGTTTGTCATGCCCCTCCTGGGAACCTTCCAAAGTTTTCTCTCCATTCAGTTTTCCAAAACTGATGCCTTCCAACTGTTTTGGACTGAAATACCCACAAGAAATAGCAAATCTTACCCTGGTTTCGGATCGTGGACACCAGAATTAAGAAACTGTTTTTGTTAGGGCTAATGCAAGAAAATTTTCAGATCTGACTTTAGGCTATAATCTAACTATTCTAAAAATCACATTTGTCCCATTAAAACTACTGAAGCAAAAGTGAAATAATTCCATCAGGTATTAATGGAAATGCTAATGCTGGCATATTAAGTGAAAAGGAAGAATCTGTCTAGACCAGGGGTAGTCAACCTTGGCTCTTTTATGACTCGTGGACTTCAACTCCCAGAATTCCTGAGCCAGCTTGGCTGGCTCAGGAATTCTGGGAGTTGAAGTCCACGAGTCATAAAAGAGCCAAGGTTGACTACCCCTGGTCTAGACACTGGATTTTCGTTAGAATTAGGTAGGCACAACTGGACTGACAATCTTATCCTTATCTTTCCTGCCCCCTCCCCTACCACAGCAGCCTTAATCTTAACTTCAAAATCAGAGGCATATTTAGACAGCAATGCTCCAGCATATAGAAGTTGTCACTTTTATGAAGAGGTCTCCCAAACACAGTTTATTGTACCATACTGAAGAGGATCAACAATTTTCTAAATAAGATGGCGAAGGGGCTAAACAGCATTACCATGTAGGGAAGAACAGAGAATTCTATCTGCACTTTCATGGTCTGGATATATTATTTTACAATCATACTTACAATCTCATCCAATGGTAGGAACTCATGCTATGCTAAATTAAACTGTAAATGAATAAAATTAAGTCCATTATTATCTGTATCACCAAAATAGTCTCAGTGTCCCTAAATAAAGCCAAATGTGTCCTCATGTGTAGATGTATAGGTAGTCCCCAACTTACGGCCATAATGGAATTTATCCAAATTGTGATGGTCATTAAGCAAGGAGCCCATATAATCACATTAACGACCCCCATTCCTGCCCTCCCTGATGCAGTCGTTAAGCCACTGTGTTGCTCATTAAACAGAGCATGGGGTGCCTTGGGGTGGGAAAGGCACTGGGACACCTAATATGGGCCCAGCCCCACACTGCAGCACTCATGAGCTCACACATGGTCTATCCCAGACCTCCCAAAGTCTCCCCCACCCCGAGACACTCCATGCTCCACTTCCTGCCCCTCAAGGTCCCTAAAGACTTTGGGTCTGTTTTCCCATTCCACTGGGTCCCACACGCTCCTCCTCACCCCCCCATCCTTGATTGGTCACTTGCCTTTTATTCTAGATCTCCTTCTGGAAGCAGCTGCTACACCATGGAGGCTCCATGATTCTGCCCCAGAAGAAGACACCAAGTTGCAAGCAGCCGCAATAAATTGCAGCTGCTCCAAAATGGCACCCATTTCCAGGATGGGAGTTATATGGCCTGCAGGGAGGTCAAGGGACGTCTTTCTCAATACAATCTCCAGAAACCCAGCAGAGCAGGAGGGGGGGGGGAGGAGATAGGCAAGGAAGGTGCTACAGCATACCTTCAGTTGGTTGCAAAAGCAGGCAGATTGCCAAGCACTTGAATTTTGTTCATGCAATTGTGGGGACACTTCAAAACCTGGCCATAAATAGTTATTGGGGGGGGGCACTTCTGTCATAACTTCGAACAGTCACTAAGCAACTGGTCATATGTGAAGGACTACCTTTATAACTAATTAGAAGAAACTAAAAAACAATTAATATGAGCACTATCTCAAAATAAGTATCTCAAAATAAGTCATAAAGCCACTCCCCAGTAATAAAAGGGAGCAAAGAACATTTATATCCCATCCTGAAATCTACAAGAATGTGTGTATCTACAGAAACAGAGTATCAATTTATTTTCTTCTGAGGGAAGTTATTACTGTATTAAGTAACCCTCCATCATCCCATTCTAAAAACATCTTGTCTGGTGTGGTTTTTGAACAATATAAGTTCCAGTTGGACTCGATGACCTCCAAAGTCCCTTCCAACTTTTTTATTATTATTATTATTATTATTATTATTATTATTATTATTATTATTATTATTATTATTATTATTATTATTATTATTATTATTCATAGGTCATGATAAAAGCTTATGACACCATGACTCTCTATGAAGCATGTTACATAAACAGGAAATAAAAGGAACAATCACATATAAAACTGCTGCTTTCTTGCAATTCAGTTTGCCTTAAGGTTTGAGTTGAAAAACTCAACTCTTAAATTATCAATATTTAAAACTTAACTATCCACCATTCTAATGCTTCAGTAGTTCATAGTCTCAGATTTCTCCATCTGGAATTCCAACAGCCTGTCCTTATTAGTTCTTCAAAACAGAAAAATAGAAGTGTATGAGTGTATATCTATGTGTATATAGAAATCTAGTGAAGAGTTAATGGAAAAAACTAGCATGATTAAACAAAACTATATCTGAAGAATGGTAGACATTGATAGCAACCCAAGAGTGACTCACATCCGGCACATCAGTCACATACATGCAAACAAATCTTATTTATGATATTTACAAGTATTACATAAATGGCTGCTGTTCCTCAGTTCTTCAGAATGGCTTGTAAAAAATTTTCAGGAAGCATCTAGTCTAGGCATTTTACATTACCAATCCTGCAGTAAAATTGTTTTGTGTCTTTAGAATATTCTATTGACTGATTTCCATTAAAGTATAGGACTTTATGTCACACTAAGTCCTGGTTTGCCTAACCACATTTTTTTAAAAAAATAATTAGCTAAAAAGACAGTCACTGTTTATAAGCCATGTGGCTGATTTTATGCAATATACTAAATTAATAGTTTAAAACATGGTATATGAACCAGACCCCCATCAAAACAGAAAATCAAATTTCAGGCAAGTTTGCAATCAATGTAAGGTGATTCAGTGAACAATGTCATTTTCAAATGCAATATAACTGCATTTAAATCTCTATTTATTACGAATACTGGTTGATCTTACCCTCTTATTTGCAACTTTCAAAAGGGAATATTAATGATTATGTTCATGTAACACACTTCTCCTTAGTTAGCTGAACCATGTTTTTAGCCAACCAGATTTCATGGATTTGTATGAACCATAAATCAGCCAGTCTGGCTAGATTTGCTAGGTTGAAATATGGACTAGTCCATACCCTCTTAAAAAAATAAGAATTAGGGAATGCAGTGATTAGGAATCACAAACATTAAATGTTTTATTTTGATAACTGTTTTTTTCTTCTGAAGAACAAGTAGAAAGCCTTTGACTCCTCATTAAGTGACTTGTACTGTACACTCCATTCCAAATTATATTAGGAGAGAAAAATTCTGCATTATGTTTAAAGATGTAGGAACAGAAAGAAGTAAGATTATTCAGAGTTCTGCGAATATAAGAACCATGTGAGTAGAAAACTATTTGGACAATAGTTTGCATTCCTCCAAATTTACATTCCTTAAAAAGATATTTCATCTTTTATAACAGGATGGGCAGTTTTTATACTTATATTTTATTTTGATGAGAACCTTGCACTCTATCAACAGCAGCATTGTAGGAAAGGCATGGGCTTAGAATGATGAGAGTTCAGGTCCAAGCATTTATTTTATTACTGTATCAGAACTTAGCAGAGTCCTTTTAGATTCTCAGTTATATCCAGTAAACCTTCACTGCAAGCGAAATTCAGAAGGGGAAAAATCATTTTGCTGCTGTTATTCTGAAATAATTAGGAATGTGATTAACTGACTGCCAGTTACCCAGGGATCCGTCAATAAATCCACCTTTATCCTATACAGCAAAGGGGGCAGAAAAGTGAAATCCTTCAAAGGGGAAGGTATATGAAGTATCCTGATGTCCATGCATATGCTTGGACTTCAACTCCCATAATTTCTGATCAGTTATCATCCGTCTAATGCTCATGGGTTCAAGACAGCTGGGAAGAAACATACGACAGTGTTTGGAACACAAGATTAAATGGCACCAAAATATTCCACCTATATAAGACAATCAGGTTTTCCTCCTCTTTCCGTCCCAGAAAAGTTTCTTAACGATTAAGTATACAGAAATTGAGAAAGAAAAAAATAGGCTGTCTTCTTCGCGAACATGGCCTAAGCACCCACATTTTCCCGAAATAATTCCGAGGGGCACCCCAACGCTCCCCCCCTCCCCACCACCCTTATTACACCATGCGCCCTGATCCTTATCGATCCCATCAGCGCCTCTAAGCTAGGCCCAGCTTTTCCCTCCTCCACCCCCCGACTCTCATCAGCAAGGGCGGCCGGAGCACCGATCAGGGGCACAAGGAAGGCCGGATTTTGAGGGGTGGGAAAGGAACATATCTGTTACCTGCGCGGGGCGATGCCTGCCAAAGCGCATGCGTCGACGAGAGAACCTTCGCTCCACCTTCTTCGGATCACGCAGGCGCATAATTCTTGATCGGCTCGGTTCAGCCTATTATCGCCTCGCGAATTCCCTTTCCTGCCAGTTTCTAATGAGAGCGGGCTGCGGAGAGGAGGCTAACTTTTGGAAGTTACGTTACGGGGTTGTAAATGAAAATGAGTAATTAGTCTGTAGTATCGTTAACCTTTTGGATTGCCTAGATGGTGCACACTTTTTCCTTGGCATTGAAATAGTCTCAGTGCAGCGGTATTTATTCCAGAGAAAACAAAAAAAGATCGATTCACTGTAGGAATTTTAAGATTTAATTAGCTGTTCTTTTATCCGCTAAGAAACAAATTGGCCTGGTTTCATGGATCTCATTACTGAATAATAGTGGTAAAGAGCTGATTTTCAGTGGTAGGTTTACAAAATGCATAATTCTTAACATGGTCAAATTCATTAAGACGCCAAAGCTGCCAAGCAGTATGTAGTCAATGGTGTACACAACAAGCATTTTTTGAGTGGCACAAACTGATAGCATGCGGTTTCCTGTTTGTTGTAAATCCTGATTTACAGGAATGCCCCAGTTCATCTCTTAAAGCTCTGTTCTGAATTCCCCAGAGTTATTGGTAAAGCTAGAGGAGAGGGAAATTCCAAGTAAGTCAAAGACTTTATTATGATGTTGAAAGAAAAATCTTCATCAGGGTCCAGTCCAAGCTGGGAATAAACAAAATGGAGACTGCTTTAGGAAACAAGGTTGGAGTTTATTGAAGAGCAGAGCCAGAGAGAAGCATGGCTCTGGGAAAGCTGACCATATGTTGCTGGGGGTGGTGGGTTTTTATACCTTATTGGGCTTTTGAGGTTGTTTCCTGTTCCTGTTTGAGGCTTTGTATTTCCCGTGTCACGTACTTTGACCTGAGTCTGAATGTGCCCTTTTGGTATTGGTGGGTTAATTCTATTATGTCCCCAAAGATCATGTATTTTAGAGTTTGGGTGGGGTATGTAGATTTTAGAGGTCTTTGTCTTCCTAATCTCATAGCTTCTAGCTTCCTGGCCCCAACCTTCCTAAATGGATTATTGAATTCACATTTCT